CGGGGGGGGGCGAGGGTTTACCGCTGCTTGGCCAGCTTATGCCGCCGCTTCTTAACCTTCTTGGGGATCTTGTTCTGCCGCTTGATCCGGTTGTGCTCCTTGACCAGCTTCTTCCACTCCTTCTTGGTCATTGTCTTCTGCAGCTCCGGGTCCAGAACCTTGCGCTTGAGCGGATCGTCGTCGTACTCTTCGTACTCGTACTCGGGATCATCCTTCCCGTCGCCCACGCCGTCGCCAATCGACGGCACCGTAGTCGGGATCGAGACAGATCCGGCGTCAGCGCCATCATCCGCCTCGGTCTTGGCCGCGGTCTCGCCGTTGGGCAGACCGCTGGCGTCGTCGGCAGGCAGCTCGGCGCCGCCGGGCAACGATGGCTTCATGCCAAAGAGCTTTTCGTAGTAGATACCGTCGTTGATGCCGGCCTCGAGCTTGTCGATGTCGCGCTCGTAGTCGATGACCTCCTCGAGGTTGCGCGGGATGTACGCGTTCATAAAAACGTTGTCTGCGACGTCGTCGCCGGCGGTCCGCGTCGTGCGCGCGTTGAAGGCCTGGACGGCATCGAGGTACGCGTCGAGCTGCGAGTCGGCGAGGTTTGGGTCCGTCACAAAGTCGAACAACTGGCGCGCGGTCATCGGCTCGAGCGAGAGCTTCTTGAAGAACTCGGTGACGTTGGTGCAGTCGGAGCGCAGAAAGTCGAGCGCGTGCGGGTGGTCGTGCTCCACACTCTGCGAGACATCGATGATGTACAGCTTCTTGCGGTGGTACAGGATGTTGTACTCGGAAAGGTCGGCATGCACCAGCTTGCACACATGAAACATGGTCCGCATGATCTTGACCAGCTGCACGTAGACCGACTGTGCCCGCTCGGTCGAGATGTTGGCGTCCTTGAGCCGCGGCGCAGGCCACCCGTCGCGCCCGATAAACGTCATGACGAGGACGTGGAGCTTGAGCGCCACAGCGTCCGGGCACGGGATGCCCGCGGCCTTGAGCCGCAGCAGGTTCCGCATCTCTTTCTCGGCCCACACCTTGACCATCTTGCGCGGGTTCGACTTGCAGTACCCGCGCCGGAACCTGAACTCGCCGGTCACGTACTTGTCGCGGTCCTTAAAGACAAGAATCGAGGTCTTGAAGACCTTGACCGCGTAGCCCTGCCCATTGGCGCCCAGCGCGTGGTACACGTTGGCCTCCTTGCCCGTCGAGATGCATCCGTTGATCTCATCAAACAGGCCCTTGTTCAGCATCTTGAAAATGATCATCCGAGTCCGCGGGTCGAGCACCTGCTCAGTCGTTGCCCGATCCGCCTTGTCCTTTGTCTTGGGCCGTGAGCTGCCTGCTGCCTTGCGCTCAGACTCTTGCACCTTGCGCCGGACGTCGATCCGTGTGTAGAACTGCTGCATCGAAGCCTTGGTCGGCTGCAGCCCGCCGCCGCCGCCCTTGTTGTTCGACGCTGTCCGCCCGCCGCCCACCGTAAAGTCCTGCGCAAACGCATACTCGTCACCCTCCAGATCCATCAGATCATCAGAGTCCCACTCCTCCTCCATCGATGCCTCGGGTTCGGCCACATCATCGCCGCGCTCCGCTGCCGCCGCCTGCACCGGCTTGTTGCCCTTCACCTTGGACATCATGACCACCGGCTTGGGTGCCCGCACAGCCGTGGCAGGAGCCACCTCCTCCGATTCATCCACACCAGCCTGCCCAGCCTCATCGCCACCGCTCCCTGCCACCAGCGCTGCGCCTCCGCCCCGGACCGCCGCCTGTCGCCGCCACCACCGACCACATCCACGCCGTGTAAGACGCGCTCCTTTTGCCATCACCTCCCTTCTTCCCACCCCATCTACTCCATGCACCCCACCACCCCCACCCCTGATCCCACCCCTATCCCACATCATACGCGCCCTCTATCCCTCTCGTCCGTCTCCGCCCCTGCTCCGCCACCTCTGCCGAGTCAATGGCCCATCCACCGCCTTCAATCCGTTCTTCACGGCCACACCGGGTGGCCTCCCCGTCTCCGCCATCCCCACCGCATGCACTTCATGTAACCAAAAAGTGACATGAAGGAAGTAAAGGGTGTGGGTGGGCTGGGGGGGAGGGGGCACGGGTGAAGGGCTTCTGTATGTCACATACCATCGGTCCGCTCGCCATGCCCACCGTCTCGTCATCCTCGGCATCGGCAAACCGAGATGCCATGATGGGTGGTTCGAAGAGGAATGGAGTTGGGTCGGGCAGCGGTCGGTGGGTGGCCATCCCTCGTCGGCGTGCGGTGATGCAGTTGGTTGGATCGTTGTCGTCGAGCAGCTCTTGAGATGATATCCGAGTTGGCTCTCAATGTACACTTGCTCTGTATGCTACTGATGTAGTTGTGGAGGGAAGGGATGGGGTTGTGGGTAAGGTGGTGATTTGCGGGGTACATCAGCCTTGATGAACGGCTTCGCTTTAGGGGCGAGTGCAGGGAGAGGAGAGGCTCATCAGGGGAGATCGGCGTAGTCCGGGTTGGGCTCGGTAAAGTTGGCCACAAAGCAGTTGGTGGCTGCAACAAACTCGTTGGCATCGACGCGTATCTTGAGATCGACCTCACCGGCGCCTAGCCAGAAGTTGCCCTGCGGGAGCTTGGTGAGGGCAGCGTCGAGAACGATGGGGATGGGAGTGGCCATGCCGATGGGAGTGACCGCGTTGTGGCCGTAGCCGGTGAGGACGGCCGACTGGTCGTCCTTGACCAGGCGGAAGTGGAACTTGCGCTTGGCCACGCCGGGGTTGAGCGACTTGACGTACCGCTCGAGCTCGGCAGTGTTGATCCGGGCGGTGTACTGCACAATAGCGCAGTAGTACTTGGACATGCGCGGGTTGGAGCAGTCGACCACGTCCTTGGGTGCCTTCTTGTTGACAAAGACAATCGACTTGCAGAGCTGGTGGATCGACGGCGCGCCGAGGAGCGCTTGCCGCCACTGCAGCGAGCAGTCGTAGTACTCGGGCGGTGCGCGCTTGAACGCATGCTTGGTCATGCCCATTTCTTTGCACAGTCCGTCAATCCGGGTCCACACCTCGGACACCGTCTGCTCGACCTGCCGCACGGGCGGGTCGCCCGGCAGCCCGGTGCTGGTGACGGCGCCGGCGCCAGTGTTGGCCGTGCCGGCCGCCACCTTGGCCTCCAGCGCCCCGATCGCCTCCAGCAGCTTGACCTGCCGCTCCTCCAGCGCCTTCCACCGCGCCGCTTCGGCGTCGCCAGCACTCAGCACGCTGTCAAGCACCTGAGATGCTGCTTTGGCCCCGCTCACGTACCCAGCCACAAGCTCGGAACTCTCGCCCTTCCACGTCGCAATCCGCTGGCACACCACGTAGTCAGCCAGCGACGCCTCAGCACCCTCCAAAGGCTCGCTCAGCAGCCCACATCCCGCCAGCTTCAGATGCTCCTCCAGCACCTTGATCGCCGCCGCTGAGTTTGCATCATCTGTCCCCCAACACCCATCCCCCACACACCATGAGTTGGCAGCCGTCCGCCGTATCCATCGCGCGTTTCACACAGCCCTGCACATCTTCGTGACACAATTAGCTCAGACAACTCGCTGCCTGCTCCATCAGCAGGCGGCGACTCTCATCGGTTGGCGGCATCAGGCATCATCCCCAATCAGCGGGACGTGTCGGAGGGATCGCGGGAGGGGAGGGGGGGCAAGTGGGGGGGGGGGGGGGACGGCATGGAGAACGTACAAGCGGAGGCCCAAGCCAACCACGAGTAGAGAGAGGAGAGAGTGGAGAAAGAAGGGTGTGCAGAGGGCGAGGAGCAGGAGATGGCGTATACGGCTGTGGCGGCATCACCGACAATGACCTCACCTCCTGGGCGAGTGGTGACCACTGCTCGGGAGGAGCTCTTCTCAGAGATGGCGGCAAGGAGCTCGCTACGGGCAGCAGGAGGAAGCACAGCTGCTGCTGCAAGGGTAAACCCGAGGTGCTGCTCAGCAGTACCCGAAGGGTGGTGGACCGACGCAAACATATCCTTCTTCTCCAACTACGGTAAGGTTTGGCTGGCTGGCTGGAGATGAGTCTGTCCTCTCGGGCTTGCTCGCCGTCTTCCACCCTCTCGCCAACCTGCTTTGCGCCATCCTCCTCCATCAAAGAGTCCTGCTTCACACGATCGACCTGATTGCCGGCATCCCCAGCGTCTCGGTCGCCAAGTCGCCCCGGCGTGTGCAGTTGTGAGAGGAGGAGTTCATTATTGCGGGGATGGCGGCAAAGGGCGGCTTGGGCGACGGCGGCGATCGGCGGGGAGGTATGGGTGCGCTTGACGAGAGACGAGGCGGCGCCAGGCAGCTCGGGGTCAGGGGCGCCGGGAGCGAAGAGAGATAGAAAAGGCACAGGGGAGACTAGTGGCACTTCTGCGCGAGGCGAGAGTTGACCGAGTTGACGTCCCAAAGGGAGACGTAGCTGGCGGCCTTGTTCTCTGCCGAGAACGAGACGATGACCTGCGAGTTCCATGTGACGATGCAGTTGTTGTTGGTGACACCGTTGAAGACGAGGGTAAAGGTAGCGTAGTTGGTATCAACACCAGGCGCATCAAAATTCTGCACAATAGCCAGAGCATCGACCGAGTAGCTCTTGAAAGCCGAGACCAGATCCATCAGCTTGCTCACCAGCGCCGTTGCCGTCGTCGTCGAAGTAGCTCCCAGCGGGTTGGAGCCGGTCACCTGGCCGTCAAACAGACCCATCAGCAGCGTCGAGTTCCCGTTCTGCAGCGCAGTTGTCATGCTCAATGCCCACTATCCCCCGCCTCATACCACGTGAGTCGGCATGCCTATACCCCCCCTCCCCTCCCCTCCCCCCCCCCCCCTCCCCCCTTGCCTGTGATGGGGTCACGTGCCCGGCCCCCCCTCCCCCACCACCACAGAGAACATACCTTGGACACATCAGTCGTGTTGCCCGGAAGGGTCACCGAAGTGGGGACAAAGGTCTCGCTCGACTTGGACGACGAGCCGTACGCAACAGCAGCGACAAGCGCGAGGACAAGGGCAAGGCGAGCGGCACGCATGGGGGAATGGGAGAGAAGGGGGTGGCGGGAGGGGGCGGAGGCGGAGGCGGAGGCGGAGGCGGTGGCGACTCACTGATGATGATCATCGGATGGTAGTCGGCCTCGCGATGGACGACTCGGCGGTTGAGCAGTCTTTGAAACACGGACAGGCTTTATTCTTGGCCCATCCTTGCCGTGTCGATCCTGGCCTGATACTGGCCTTGTTCATCCTGGCCGATCCTGACCTGGCTGAGCTGGCTCATCACGCTGGCGTGTTACTCCGATGCAGACTCGCCGACAGCCAGCTGGACGTACTCGATCTCGGCATCACGGCCAATGACCTCGGCGACTGACTTGTCGCCGTCAAAGAGGAACGGCTGGGCAAGGAGATCGGCGTGCGACGCCGGCTGCATGCCGACAATGTGCTGCGCAAGCTGGCGGGCGACCGGGGCTGCCGCCGCCGAGCCGCGCAGTGCCACCAGAGCGCCGGCGCGGCCGAGCTCGACATCGCCAACCTTGCCGCCGGTCGATCCGGCGTGGACATAGCCGCCGACAACCTCGCTCTCAAGGGCAACGCCGCGGGCGAGCTTGAGCGGCTCGCCGATCTTGAGCGTGAGCTCGGCGATGTCGTTGTCGAGCGTCTCACCCTCGAGGACCGAGAGATCCAGCGGGCCCGGACCAGAGCGCGGCGCAGTGAGTGCCCGCGAGGTGAGCGAGGCCACAAAGGCGTGGAAGGCCTCGTTCTTGGCGGCAAAGTCGGTCTCGCAGTTGATCTCGACAAGGACGGCCGCGTCCGCGGCGGTGGCCAGGCCGATGAGCCCCTCGTTGGCCGTACGCCCGGCAGACTTCTTCGCCGCCACCACCTTGCCCTTTTCGATCAGCCACTTTTGCGCCGCACCCACATCGCCGGCCGTCTCCTCGAGCGCTTCATTCCGGCCGCGCGCCCCGTCGTGAGTCACTCTGCCGCGAGGCTGCCGCTGCTGTGCCGCAGAGCGCCGCGATGGCGGTCTCGCGCTCTGGGCGCCTGACCCCCTGCCCACGCTCCCTGCTCGCTGCTAACGTACCCTGCTTGCAGTCCTTCAGCGGCGCATTCGTTGCCGCGCGGAGCTCCTTGATGAGCGCCATGGACGCCGCCCGCGGCGCAGCGGTCAGCGCTGGATGGATGAAAGGGGAGGATGGTTGAGCTGTGAGTGCAGCCGCCGACGGCGGGGGGTGTAGAGAAGATACAGGGGAAGGTATTCCGACGCAAGGGCCAAGAGCATGCTGCACAATGGTGATTTCTAGCAGGATCTCGTACAGAAAGCCCGCGGTAGGACACAGGAGGCGGTGGCGAGGGTGGTGAGGTTGAGGCGGAGCATGGTGAGGTGGTTGAGTTTGCCTCGTTTAGCAGTGGTGGAGTGATGGGCGGGTGTGCAAACCCTTTTCAGCAGTGGCGACCTCCGAAACATTGGGGACCGGAGAATAGCCGGCGTTTCGGCGTGTGTCTTTTCCGGCACCATCGTGTAGGGAAACTGCACTTGTCACTGCCTACGGGCAGTCGAGTACAATTTCTCGGGCTACGATGAATCGCCAATTATGAGTATCTCTGTGCTTCAATTAAGGCGCCTTGTGGGAGTAACGCCTCACCTGGTATTCTGAGCCCATCACACACATGTTCAACCTTTCCTCTACTTGTATCCCCCTTGGATATTTCCATTTCTTCTTACTCTCGTCTTCTCCCCAACCCCCATGCCCGAACTCCCCCTCCCCGTGGCACATGCTCGAGCCATGCTCGACGATCGCGCCATGGCAAGTACGGGCAACCCTGCGTACTGCGCAGCGCACTTGGGCCGGATGCAGGTGATCGATGGATGCGTTCAATGATGGCTGGCGTGTGCAGGTCGAGGAGGTCAAGACCAATGAGATGGGAGTCGGCTGATAATCACTTCCTCTTCCTCTTACCCTTGCCCTTGCCCTTGTCCTTCTTGGATCCCTTCTTGGATCCCTTCTTGGAGGCCTTCTTGTCCTTCTTGGAGGCCTTCTTGTCCTTCTTGGAGGCCTTCTTGTCCTTCTTAGAGCCCTTCTTAGAGCCCTTCTCCTTCCCCTTCTTAGATCCCTTCTTATCCTTCCCCTTCTTGGAGCCCTTCTTGTCCTTCCCCTTCTTGGATCCCTTCTTGTCCTTCCCCTTCTTGGAGCCCTTCTTGTCCTTCCCCTTGCCCTTCTTCGAGCCCTTGCGCTTGCCCTTCTTCGAACTCGAGTCGTCGGACGAGGAGTCCGAGCCCTTCTTGCTCTTCCGCTTCTTGGACGACGAGGCCCGCTCGGCAGGCAGCGCGTCGGTGAGCGCCATAAAGTAGTCCAGAACAGTGCGCACCTCCTTGACATCGCCATCGGTCTGGAAGATCCGGTACGAGACCTCGCCGTCGTCGTCCTTGTCCAGCCGTTTGAAGATCTTGTCGGCAGCCTTGACAATGGCCTTCTTCTCGCTCGCCGACAGCTCGAACCGCTCGATCTTGGACGGCTTCTTGGACGGCGTCAGGCCCGGGAGCGTGTTGTTGCACCGCTTGATGACTCGGACCGCAGCCTTGATCAGCTTGCGCATCTCCTCCTTGTCCAGCGCGCCCGAGCCGTTGCGGTCAAAGACCCGGAAGCAGTACTCGACCTTCTTCTCGCGCCGCGGCCGGCCCACCAGCGCCGAGTAGATGGCAAACTCCTTAAAGTCAATCCACTCGTTCTTCTGCGAGTCAAAGAGCGAGTAAAAGCCGCGGAGAAAGCCATCGTCCGTGATGCCCACCTCCTTGAACGTCTTGATCCACTGCGCCAGCGAGATTCCGCCCTCCTTCACCGCCACACGCTTCAGCCGATCCTTGAGCTCAAACAGATCCACCTGGCTCACTACACACGCCTCATCCATTCCCCCATAAGTCCTTTCCCCGACCCCAATCAACTCTGCCAGCCAGCCAGCCCCACCAGCCCGCCAGCGACCAACCAGCCGGAGCCGCAGCCGACCACCGCCAACCCTTCCCACCGCCTTGCCTCCCTACCGCCTCCCCACAACTACAGAACCCAGCCATCCCATACCTGTGTGGAGCACTGTACACACTCCCCCCTCCCTCCCCCCTCCATTCCGTCCCCCCCCCTCCCTGCGTCCCCACCCCCCTGTCCTTGCCCAGGTCCTTTGCCCCGCCAACCAGCCGTTGTTCACCCGTCGTTCCCTTCTCTCGCTTCCTTCCCT